TAAAAAATTGCAGTGCCTACATAAGTAAGAACATTTAATAAAAAAAATAATAATAATGTCAGCTAAACAATTAAAAAGATTGGCTAAAAAAGAAGCCGAAAAACTAATGTCCCCAAAAAATAAAAGAGTTAATTCAGAGGAAAATGTGCAGGAGCAAATAGAACCAATCCAACCAAGCATTGAAAGTAGTTTCCATCATGTAAATTTAAGCGATATAAGTGATATCTGTTCATCTGATACTGAAAGTGATTCAAACGAATTTGATTTGTGCGAAGAACTGGCTAAATGGGCTACCCAATTTCAAATAAGTTTTATTGCACTTAATGCACTTTTATTGTTGTTGCGAAAATGCAATATTAAAGTCCCAAAGGATGGCAGGACCATTTTAAAAACGCCTTGTTCTGTGATTGAGAGAAAAGTTGGGGAAGGCACGTATGTTCACTACGGACTAAAAAACGGTTTAACTGATTTCTTGGTGGGAAATGATTGGAGATTACCGAATTTAATATTGGATTTCGGTATTGATGGCCTGCCACTGTTTAAAAGCAGCTCAAAACAAGTTTGGCCAATACTAGCCAGTGTTGTGGGAACTAGTTATGTGTTTCTTGTTGGCGTATATGAAGGTACTTCAAAGCCAAAATGCGCAAACGATTTTTTACAAGAATTTATTTCAGAACTGAATGTTCTTATGCAAGAGGGGCTAGTTTTTACAAATAACGTTTTCCATATTATCGTGCGCTGTTTTGTAATGGATGCACCTGCCAAATCCTTTATATTGGGAACTAAGGGGCATAGTGGATACTTTTCTTGTGGACGGTGTACACAAAAAGGGCAAATGGTTAACCATCGGCTTATTTTTCCACCAGGGTGCGAGTATATGGTTAGAAGCAATGATTCCTTCAGAAATCGCCTTCAGCCGGAACATCATTTAAAACAGTCTACTTCACCATTAGAAATGCTAAACATGAATATTGTATCACAGTGCTCCTTAGATTATATGCACCTTGTTTGTTTAGGCGTAATGCGAACTTTATTAAATGCATGGGTTAAAAAAAAGGTGAAGATTTCTCTTTAGTTTCCTGGAAAATTGAATCAATTTCAAGAGAGTTAAATTTTAATAGAACTAACATAACGAGAGAGTTTAAAAGAAAGCCTCGAAGCTTGAAAGATCTTGATAGATGGAAGGCAACAGAACTAAGACAATTCTTACTTTATACGGGGCCTTTTATACTGAAAAAAACAACTCCTGTGCTGAAAAGCTCTTAAAATCATTTGTGAACGAGATTCCAAAATTATATGGTTTGTGCTTTCTTACATATAATTTTCACGCCTTGTTGCATATTCATGAAGATGCTACACTTCATGGATCTTTAGATGGAGTAAGCGCCTTCAAATTTGAGAACCATCTACAAAAAATTAAACGCAAAATTAGGAATGGAGGAAGTGTTGCCGCACAAATTTATAAGAGGCAAGTTGAAATCAGCTATCTTATAAAAAAGGAAGAAGAACATAAACCGCCTACATCTTTTGGGAAAATTAAAAGCGGAAAAATTTTAAGTCTAAATACGAATGCTTTCTTCTTTTCTCTACGCGGCCCTGACAACTTTTGCCTGGTTCAGGATTAAATTGTTAAGATAATAGAAATAAAAAAATGTCATAGTGGTCCTGTTTTAATCGGAATACAAGTAACAAATCTGACGGCTCCCTTTTTGCAACCAATCGAATCAAGTAATTTTGATATGTATTCGGCGGCTGACATCGCTTTTGATAATAAAATTGAATTTTCTACAAATCAAATAAATAAAAAAAGTAATATGTTTACGAGATTCTTTTGACAACAGTTATTTTTTCACACCCCAACTTAGCAATGTCGCAGAATAATTTCATCTCTTCTGGAGATTTTCAATTCACCCCATCCAATAATTTAACAACTTGTAAGTTAAAAGTGGAACCCATTATTTTTCCATGTAAACAAAACGATTTGTTTTTCAGTGCAAAATGTTTACGCTTCTGAAACCAACAGCCTTCAAACTCTTGTACTAGATTTACATGGCGAGATTAAATCTTTTAAGTCTGAAATTTCGAGCTTAAAAGAAGAAATTAAAGAATTGAAGGATGGAAATAAACGAGCATTTACCAAACTAATAGAGAAGGTCATAGCTGTTAAGCTAGAAAACAGAAGGCACCACAATGACATCACATCAATCGATGAATTTGAAGATTTACAAAAACTTCCTTTGGCCGTTATTGCTGATTTAGAAAAATTGTATGGCGAGATACAACACAATGAAGGCACTCTTAAGCAATTTGTATGTTTTTTATTTAACTTCTTATATGAATTTGGTTATACAAGTATTTTTATAAAAAATTTCAGAAAGAATTCATAGCAAAAACAGGCGGTGACGGACCCGCAAAATTTCTAAGAACCGCCATCCGAAAAGTATTTTGTGACGAATTGGCTTCTGCTTACAGCTGGAAGGCGACCAGCACTAAGCCAAGCGCCGAAAAGTGCTTTCTAATAACAACGATTTAAAGTAGGTACAGTGTAGCACAAAATTATCGGCACAGGGAATTTTTCACAATGTGTGGAAAATTTTAGTTTTGGTTGTTTTTTTTCGACAGGGTAGGAATATGATGTATTGTTTAACGATCTTCCGTCATCCCTAGTCAATTTTGGTTTGCAGTCAAACCGGTTTTGGCGTTATGCATCTTCAGTGTTATATTTCGAAGAAGACACTGTACATGACATAACGCAAAACTCAGAAAAAGTCAATAAAATTGCATACATATTTTCAACTTTTAAAAATTTAGTTAATATCTCTAGAAAGATTCTAAGTATGCAATTATTTAACCCATTCAATTTTAGTAGGTAAAAAAAAATGTAAGTTTGAAATTTCCAAAAAAGGTGATTTTTGCCATTTTTTCACGCAGTTTCTTCCATACAAAAAAAAAATTCGAACATGGAAGAAACTGCGAGAAAAAATTTCCAAAAATCAACGCAATTTTTTTTATAAATTTTTCATGCATTGTGGAAAATTCCCTGGGCCAATAATTTTGTGCGTACCCATATTTAATGTACCCATATTTTGACAAAACAAAATTAATATTTGTCATCTTAGATATTTGCCATCTAAAATACAAAAGCACAGACCAGGAAATGAACGGTGTGCTTCAAAAGCATTTTGTGCATGCTAAAGACAGGATAGCAAAACGAAAACTAACGAGATCACTGCAAGAAAAAACGGCGAAGAACTCACGCAATTGATAAAATGGATTTTTTAATTTAAGTACTTTTAACTTTTATACACATAGGGACAAAAGTATTGGCACAGAGAACTTTTCACAATGTATGCAAGGTTTTTTATTCTAATTTCTTTTCGCAAACTTTTTATAAAAACATAGCTCATATTACAACACAAATGTAAAAATAAACTTTCAAAACTTTGTGCAAAACTCAGGAAAATTCAACAAATTTGAAACTTTTTAAATAGATTTTGTAGCCCATTAAATTATAGTATACTTAAATGCAAGTTTCAAGTTGCTAAAAAATCGCGTTGATTTTTACCAATTTTTTCTGACGTGTCTTCGGTATAAAAAATGGTGAACATACTTTGTATGGAAGACACTCTGCGAAAAAAATGCCACATCAACGCGATTTATTACAAAATCTATTTAAAAAGTTTCAAATTTGTAGAATTTTCCTGAGTTCTTTGTAAATTTTATGTAAATAAAATGCAATTGATGATACTTTAAAAAGTTTATTTATTTATTTCATACTGTAAATAAAACTTTCATAAATGTATTTTAAAGAGCGAATTTTCAGTATTTGCTGATGATATATATTTAGAAGTATGAACCCTTTCCCCCAAAAAATATATTCCTGCGTGCACCCCTGGCACTTAGTATTTATTATTTGTAAAAAATATGTTTACTTTCAAAATGTTTGTAATTTTAAACATTTCATGTGTATATTTTAAACAACTAATGTTCAAAATCAAATCTTGAACATCTTGTGCGTATACTTGAACAGATTCCGGTTGAAAAGTAAACACTTTTCAGTAGTAGTTTTACATGCACTTTTTAGAGTGTATGTAAGCTCTGGAAGCCCAGGACGTTGTAACGACTCGCAGATATTTCAGACTTCATCTCTAAAACAGCAACTGGATCAATGCGAACTTTTAACCGAATTAAAGAGAAGTATTGCTGGCGTAGATATACCTGTTTTTATTATTGGCGATTCGGCGTTTCGATTGAGCGACAAATTAATGAAACCATGCCCGTTCAATGTTTCGCAAAGCCAAGAGCAAAAACAATTTAATTATCATTTATCCAAATCTCAGAGAGTGGTGGAAAATGCTTTGGACACTTGAAAGCGCGTTTTCGGCGAATTGGAAAAGGCATAGACAATGCTATAAAAAATGCTAACGCAATAATTTTATCGTGTTGTGTACTTCACAATTTCCTTAGCGAAAACAACGACACGTTAAATGAAAATGGGTTACGAGCTTTAGAAATTGTAGAAGCAAACCGTTCGTATCCTGTAGCTCGTTTCTGTAACAATTCTCTACCAAGGCGAATTGAGATATGAATTCGCAGCCCTGTTCTCTACTGCTAATTAGT